CTGCTTTTTCGAAGCAAGATTGGAAGTATCTACGGTAACTTGTCGCTTATGTAGATGCAGTTCTAAAAAATCGTTAGAATAAGTGCTATAAGCACCTCAACCAGCGTTGCCTGTGCCGATGCTGCTTGCACCTTTGTACCAGCAGCAATTAATATCGTTTCCATTGTGATACCTTCGTCTCGCGTAGGCCTTGCTTCAGATTGCAACTTGCAGCTCTTCGTAACGTAACCTATTTCTGGAATGAGTAAGCATATTCTACAGGTTTTCGTGGAGCCATGCACATGTTCTATTTTGTTATAAACGGGTCTAAACAAGAGGACATGTTGCTTGGAGGAGATGGCGCTGCTAAATATTTAGCTGAGAACGAAGAATGCGTTTGGTAGTTGAGGATACACGGAGTGAAATTTCAATACCTATTCCCTACCAAACGAGTCTGCCAGATTCGGGAGTCACCTTGGTTTAAATGTGCTATACGAGTTAACGCGATGACTAGAGAGGCTTCAATTAGGATTAAACGGGCGTCAACTTATCCCGTTGGCCCCTTCGCTAGCCAGCGCAACAAATACTCTTTTAGAAGCCCTAAGACCGCTTTCCGTTCATACAACTAAAGGCAGGACATTCAGCACACGTCTGGACATATGGTTGGACTCTACTGAGTAGATGGGAGGCGAACCTCACCTTCAAGCGAATCGAGGTCACTGCACTACATTCAACTCTACATGCATATGGATAGCAAATACGATCATAGGCTCTCTCTCTCTCTCTCTCTCTCTCTCTCTCTCTCTCTCTCTGTCTATATATATATATATATATATATATAGCGGACCTTACACATTCTGCATTTTACGACATGGTCGAATCGGGACGGATATCGAAAAGTACGGGCATGCAATGTAGCAACCATAAAGTTGACTATTACCCAACTTTGAAAGACAACCTTGTGTGATTCTTTCTTGAAGGTATGAATTCATTTGTGGACAGTTTGATATAATTCTGTAGAACGTGCTTATATAAGAATTTCTTTTTGATATTTTTTGAAAATGAAAAGAACGTCTTTTTTTTATCAGATTAGTTGCTAATAAGCGTTGGTTCACCTCATACAATTTTGTTTCAAGTTAAAAATTATTACTACATAATATATTTTGTCTTTCTTTTGTTAACATAGTTCCGAGTGACTTGGCGCCGTGTAATGAGCGTTGTATTACTGTCGTGCTACCATATAAATGTAGGTCGTTTTTAAAAGAGACCATGAAGATGCTGGTTTAATTCAAAGGCGCGTAAATAAGGTGCCTAACTTTTATCAAAAACGGCCAGTTCATAATCAACCTTTTCGACTCAAATTTTGCAGAGTCCAACAATGTGATGCTACTTATTTGCGCGCTGAATGGTCGCGCTCATTAGCGGAACTCTAAGGTGCGTAATTGTGTTTATGTCTCCGTGACAATACCTTTCTCTTTTAGTCCACCTCTAATATTTGGAGTGCTGGCGTCAAGGATCTTGCGGTGACGAGTAAGAGCGCTCTCCTTTTGACTCCTTGAAAGTGGAAGTCCTGTTCTCGGTCATCGTTTCATGAACCTATTGCGTTGTCGACATCCGATGTAACTACGAGTGCACGCGCTTTATTTCAAATTTGAAACTCCTCTCGTCTTTTCGTCTCTTTTTTTTTGTTTTTTTTTTTCAACATGGCGTCGTCAAACGCGTCGACGTCCTATGAGCAGTCTAGGTGGATATTTGATAGTCTCGCTCTTTTTGAGCTGATACCGTGGCGCTGGGTACTGCTACCCGGTTGCCCTCGTTGCTCCTGTATTTGGCTTTTGACTCGCCGGCTACCGCGTTCTCTAGGACTCTATGGTGGTGACTCTCGGTGGCGCCAGCTGCTACAACTCTCTTGCAATCATGTCTCTCTTACCCTCAGCCGCATGTGCCAAGCGCCAGCAGCAGCCAAAGCGGATGCCCCCGTTCGCCCTTCTTTAACGGTCCTTTCTTGCCGACCCCCTATCGCCCATTTCACCGACGTCCCATCTAAAGTCACCCCAAAGCAAGCGCCGCCAGTCACCGCCACTCATAATTTTCTTTTCACCCCCCCCCCCCCCCAATCTTACTTCGCGCACTGCAGGACTGTTCCCCGCGATCGCTGCCTCCTACAGTCTTGTCACACGCACTTTTAGCATGAGCCAAACGGAAGGGAAAGCAAAAGCGGCATGAGTGTGTGTGTGTGCACGTTTTCGGCTCTGCAGTGGGGTTTGAGGTGGGGCGTGGGTGGGAGAAGTCAAAAGCGGGAGTGTCACAGGGGTTTCTGTGTTGACGTCGTCAGTCTTTAGTTGTCGTAGTACTTGCTGCCAGCATCGTGCGTCCCCTTCAGAAAATGCCGCGAAACCGTTTTCTCTTTTTTCTCTTCGTCTTTTTTCCTTCGCTCTTCGCATTTTCTTCTTTTTGAATCCACTTTTTCCTGCAAGCGAGTGCGTTACTTAAATCGCCACTTGAATAGACACCGTAAGAAGAAGCCTGTTTTAGTATCGCTGCCTTTAAAACTCAATGAGAGAGGCAGGAAGCAGGCAGCGAAAGCGAGAGAGTAGGGGGAGGGGAAGCCTCAGGGGTTGTATGCAGAAAGTATGTGTGGACGAAATTAGCAGACATCTAACTGCTGCCACACACTGCTACTACAACTAGTACGATTATTATTATTATTACTAGCTTTCCACTACTGTTGCATGCGCCCTTTACCATTTAACGATATCGTGCTAGGGGTGCGAAGTCGGAATTCCTTCCGAGAGAATCAGCAACGCTAGCAACAGCAAAAGCAAGCGGAAGCAGCCGCCAGAGTAAAAGAGACCGACAGAGTGACGACGACGAGAACGACGGAAAAGGAATGCAACCGGAACTTACTTCGTAGGTTTACACCGAAGAAGTATAGGCGACTCAACTTCATGCGTCGCTTCTCGTCCGTGCTTCCTTTCATCGTCCGTCTCGGAAAAGTCTCAATGCCCTTCTAGACGTTTATCGTAGCATCGTGGCCACCACTAGCAGCCGGTTCCTATTTGAGCAACAAATGCACCAGCAGCCTACAACGGAGACCTAGTAATGCTAGTAGCACTAGTAGTAGTAGAGACCGCAGTAGTTCTAGCAGAACCTGAACGCTAGTTGCCACCCTATCTGGCGTTTCTTTCACCGTTATGATCGTCAACTCTACCGTCTTTCATGCATATTTCTTGGTGACCATTCTTTGAGCGCTCGTCATGGTGTTTGCCCTCACTTCTCTCTTGACAACTCTCCGTTTATCCTTTACGTTCCCCTTCTATGGCGACAGGCTATGGCATTCACCACTGGGCGTTTACAAGGCATACTTTAGCCCTGAACTTCCCTTTACAGCATTTTCAACCCCTACTAAGTCACTAACATATTCCTTCTGTAAGTTTTTTTTTCTATTGTTCCCTCTCATTCTCCAAAGTGATGGTCTCGTCATTTTCATTCTGATCGTGTATCCTCAACCAGCTACAACAGAGCTTTCAGGGTTGTTGGGCGCTTCAAGGGTTCAGTCGCCGATCTAAGTTGTAGCTAGCGTTCGGCGTATATTGGCAGTGTGGCGTGCAAGAAGAATCGTTAAACAGCAGCGAACGATGCTATGCCATCGGCAGTGGCCATCAACCCTAGTCGGTTTCATGGAGAGCGCCTAGAAGGCTTGTGCAAAGTATCCATCCGCTACTAGCAGTCACTTGCTCACACACATGCGTAATATATGGGATCATTTTTCCCATCGCCTCCAGAAGGAAACTTAGTGGAGAAAAAGAAGGGAAGCCGACGAGTGTGACAGTGATTTCCCGTTGCTCGCTGTGCTATCTCTTTAATCCATTGTGAGCGTTACTCCGGTAAAGAAATATGTAAATTTAAATGATTCACGTACTGTTTTTCGCTTCTGGGAGTTTTCTCCGCATACATCCTCTCCTTGCGTGGCACCCGTACAGCCGCAATACACTATTTGCTCGTCTGGCATCTTAATATGGGTGAGTTAGTGAAATTCGTTTTCTCACCGGGCACTGTAAGGTACGCATCGCGGAATCACGGTTCTGATAAGCCGACCATTGCCACTTCTTTCTTGAAGCTCTTTAACCCAATCCCACGTTGTTTAGCACGAACAGGGAAAAGTTTCAGGCAGCCTTGTTGGACAGCAACATTCTTGCTTATATAATCCTTTAACGATAAGTTATGCTAAATTAACTTAATATAATTATGTCTTTAGAAGGCTAATTCAATGCCATTAATACGAGATGAAGTATTTTATTTTTAGTTTCTACAAATTTCGACGTCCTTCTACCAAACACGATTTTCTTTGATGTACCATTATGTTTCTCAAGGCTAGCTCGATTTGTGAGCCTGACTCGTATCCTAACGATTTTTTGTAAGTGTCTTAAAATCCTTGGTGTGACAATATCTGCAATATGTTAGGAAATAGCACGTGCTAACAAACGTGTACTGAATACAAGAGGCCACGCTGCCAAGGCGGATCTCAATGCTGGTCGCTACTGTCTAGCATCTCAACTCCATGCGGGAAAACCTTTGACGACTCTGTTCGCTCAGCCATATATACAAATAAATGTGACTATGCGGACAAGGAAAGCACACATTCTTACAGTTGGATTGGCATATATTCGAACAAGCACATCGGAGCGTGCTGTTTTTTCTTTCGTATTACAAGAATAAACGGCCACAGCAGGGCCAGCATCTGCAGGCAAAATGTACCCATAATTCGGTCAACGATTGAACACAATCTAAACAACAACAATACGGTTGTATGATGTACTAAGGTCATATCAATATATACTGTCATACTGGACGTGGCTGTCGTACGTTATGATCGCCTGTGCAAAACATCCTATAGAACAAATGCTCAAGCCGCCGCGCAGTAATTTATGAATCGTATCTAAAATAGAAGAAACATAACTGTTTTTGAATGTGGCATTTATTGCGTATGAGATCATATAGTTTTTACTGAACCCCGTTGTAAGCAACGTCTGTTGAACGTATAGTACGTGGACAAGATTATGGACATGAATTCTTCACTGCATAACTCATATTCGATGTTAGTGTAATTTGTATTCTTAATTTTAATAATTTTAAGCAACGATGGATATATACGAAACGACGAAGACAAACAACGATGTAAACACGGAACTTTTTCTAATAAAATTCCATTTCTATTTTTGCGTCTTTAACACGTACCTAACTTCCAAAACGGTCATAACTGCTTCTTTCACTATTCCTGCTAATAATACTGAAGGTATTCAATGAACTGTTAATTAAGGTGTAACGTAGCAAAAATAAGGTCGATATAAATTGTTCAATGAATTTACTAACAAGGTGTTTGTTTGTATATTTACGCTACAATAACATATTAACATTTAGCTGCCTTTGGTCAATGGCTGATTCCGCTTTATTGAGGATTAGGCTATCCGTTTGTAGGTTTACTGGCTTGGACAACTGCTATAAGTTCTCAAAGTTATCTCAATGTCGAAAATCCGCAGTTTCATCTGCTAAAGGAGAGCTGAGCTAAGTGACCGCATATGCTTTAATATTTGTTGCACTGCGCTGTCTGATTTTTGTGTGTTGGCAAAGTTTGAATCTACACGACAAAAGCCCAGGGGGTCGTGCATTTCGTTGCGTGACTTCTGAAAATTTCTGTTTACATTGTCTACGTCTGACACGTATTTTCAATTCCAAAACACCTTTCATAGACCGACAAAGATTTTATAACGTGAACAAAAGAATTACATCTACTATTTTATTAGATTATTACATCTACTATTATAGACAACTTTTTGTCATCTTGTACTTACCTTGCTTATATCTCTATAGCTTCTTTGCCCCACAAGCTTACTCTAAAATGGTTAAGCTAATCGAGAAAAAAATTATACTGCGAATCGCTACTATCAATTAAGTAGAGACCACTGAACAACCTTAAAAGCATATAGACCATAGAAATTGTGAAACCTAGAGTTATCGTCTGAGCTATTCCTCGTTAGACAGAGCATGGCCTAACTTTAAAAGAACGTTTCGTTCGTGCCTTTGAACGTATAGACGAGGGTTCTCTTGGCACGGAGGACATTTACGCAGCTGATTTCGTTTTGTCTTTTCAATGGTTAAATTCCGCACTCCCGTCGCTCGCAACCCAACATTACCCCTTCCCCTTGTATATAACCGTAATACCAGCACACGGCCTGGGTTATTCCCAAGGGGTGCGCGGCTAGCTGGGTATGTCGTTAATGTCATTCCAGGCGTTCCTTGATACAAACGATCCGCTTTGAAATGAAGAGCTGTGATCATCTCTTATTTTCTGATTTTCCCATAGACTGTAAACTCGTATACACTTGCCTCTTCGGACACACACATATAAATTCAAATGTATATATTAAACAACTTTTTCAGCAAAATGGGTCTACGCATCATCATTCGGTTCTACAGCCTTCCCTAAATGTAAAAGTTCAATGAGGATGAACATATTACAAAAACCATAGTGCATAGTTTAAGGATGAAGATCAACTCGGGTCTGAGAGGTCACCCATTTGAAAGATGGTTTTCTACAGTAATTTATGCATTAGGATAACACTAGTTAATCAGTTGTACAGTAATGATTTCAACCTGCAACGACCACTTATCTATCCATCTACTTCCTAGCCTCTAAGTGATTTGAGTTACACATAGTTATAATATTATATCGACAAAGTCTGTATTTATCTAATTTATTGTTCGTCTCTTTATATTTAAACAATGAGACGTTCTCAAGGACCGTTGCACCTAACAAAAGGCAACGCGTGTTTTTCAATACGCGGTCTTTTGACTATGCCTAATTCTCTTTGGCTAACAGTGATAATCTCAGGCTGTTATTTGTACGGATGTAAGAATGACATCGCTAAACAAACTTACAAATCATATCTGAGCTGCTTATTTCTAATCTCTCTGCAAAGTCGTGACATCGCGCTCCGGGCATTTCAAGTTACGTTTTGGTAAAGAGGAATTTCTTATATATCAATCACATGAGTAGCGAAGCTGCAGAGAAAACAGATAACAATACGAGAAGGGGAGAGGCTGATAGTTTGTGATCTCACGTAGCATCAAAAAATGGTTGGAACAAACCAGGTCTGTAGAGCCCAAGTAGAACCGTAGGTCTCAGTAGCGCACCCTGTATCAGCCTCTATTCGCAGCTGCCCCCAGAGATCATGTTCCTCTATATATATATATATATGTATATAGGTTTGTCGGGTTCGCGTGGTTGCTAGATAGCGCGATTTGTACAAATGCGCACAATAATAACAAAAGCGTGATGACGTTAGCATAGTAGAGTCAAACGCCGCTTGACTAAACTACCTTCGCCTTCCTCTCCAAACAGTCTCTACAACCATCATCCCTGCCATTCCATCATAAAGTCCCTGCTCTCGGCAGTTTGCCCCTTACCATATCAATGCTCAGGGCAGCCGTAAACCCCTAGAGGGGTTTTCGCCCTGATTCTGCACGAATCACAAGAATAAGGCGACTGCAGAAGAAAATACTAAGGACAAGCGAACAAGGAACGACAGCTAATCCTATTAACAGTCAATACTGCGGCTACGGACTTTGCCCCTCCGATCAATCTATCTATCCGTACTGCCGCTTTCGTAACACTCACCTTCACAGCAGACACCACATTACATCGCACGGGAACAAAGTAGGAAGACGCGCTACGTATACAATTCACCTTTCCTCAATAGTGAAGATACACAAGACCAACAGACTGACGCGAGGGTGAGTTCACATACACAGAAAAACACATGCGACCACATTATAAGGTTATCCTATTTCTCTCTATTATAAAAATGTGTGAATATTATGGTACGTCTATTCCAATCTCTGTTACTCTAATGCAGCTGATCTTTTTTGATGCTGTTGTAATTAAACATAGTGCTTCAAAAAATTTCGTAATTTTTAGGCAGCTTAGACTCTTTTGCAATAGCAGAAAAAAAGAGAGAAAACGAATAACAGGTGCATTTTCTAGGTCGCTAATTCCTTACTAAAAAGATATTAGATGTAAGAAAATATGGTTTATTGTTTTTGTAGATAAGTGCCAAACGGATCTATGTGACCACAAACAGCAACCTGCCAGATAATTTCCGCTTCACGTCTCTCGTAAGATTAAATGGCTATGCAAGAATGTAACTCTGCGGCAGGCAGTATTTTGAAGGGTGCAACTGATGTGGTAAGTGGTGCTTCGTAGATGACCGCGGCCATAAGAGTACTGCCACTAGAATCGGCATTGACATCGTGACTTGTTTCGTGATCTGTTTCTTTTACTTCGTATTTGATCGGTACGGGAAAAAAATAAGGCGAAGTAACTTGAAGATGACATGGTGAAGAAGAGAAGCTATGTGATTTTTGACACAGCACTTACCAAAGTGCGCATGAGCAATATGTGTTGCAAACGTCAATATGGTATCTTCAGTGCTTAATGAAACCATCGGGAATACGAAATATGAGAAAGAGGAAAATCGGTTTCTCCTAACTGTCAAGCTGGGTACTGGAATGGTTGATTTCCAGCTTAAGCCTGAGGCCAAAGTCGAAAAGATACTACACACTAACAGTTAGGACAACTAGTTCTTTTGTAAATCACTGTTGGTTAAGATCCGTTTTGTTTGAGTGAAGCGTGTTTGACGTGACTACGAAGCTTGCAGTATGTGTGTAGAAAATATGAAGACATCTGGCGACGTATATACGTTCAACAATTGTTTTGCTGACATGTTGGCTTAAAAGTCTGTCAACGGTCACTGCCGTTGTTATATTCAGACGGACGCTCGTAAAAATGATGCTAAAATTAAGACCCAAATTCGCCCCAAGAACAGCAGCCGGATCCTCAGCTCCAGCCTTAAAAATATCTCCAAGAATGCAAGTAACGCAGGTATTTTTAAATCACTGCGAACAGAATCAACGCAAATCCTTCTCAAGAAAAAAGATTTCACTTATTGAAACAATACCACGGCTAGAACTTCCAAGAGAGTGATGTTTTATTCGCTTACGTCGGAACACGAGAGGCCTGAGAGGAGTTATGGCAGTGTCCAGGAGAAGACTGCTTCTGACAGCGACAATCAAATGACATCCTACCACTTCATGGCATATGTATATATAATTAGGCATTGTTCGCCAAGAATGCGATCTCTAGTTGTGACTCAGTCATATCTCTACTGCGATCCTCAAAGCCTGTTTTTGTTCATGAAAAAGAACAGATTTAAGGCAAGGCATATCTCGTAAACGAGGAGATATCTTTCAGGCATTGTATCTTAAATAAATAGTGATTCAACTTAGAAATTGCTGTTTTGAGCACACATGGAGAAGCAGGCAACTGCAAAGCTAGACTATAATCATAGTTCAACCTTGTTTAATTTCTTCCTAAGTCTCTAGAAGAGTGCGGCCGTGTATTAATTAGGATTACAGCATTGGTAAACAGGGCGGAGAAAATAAGGATGGAAGAGTAAATCACAAATGTCTTTTCTTCAAGGCTAATGTGTATAGTGTTTGGTTCCACAAAACAATTGCAATTTCGCCTGTGCGGGTACGAAGAAAGATAGCTGTTGGGGGAAAAGCTAGGGAACAAAGGGAAAGATAAATGTAACTATCGCTTATAAATCACTCTCCTGCACAAAAGAAACAGTCCAAGTCAACGCGTCAGAAACACACAAGGAAACCCCTTCACTACTATCACATTCACAATTGATAATTAGTACTACTCCAGCTACTGCTTTTCTTGCGGCTGTATGATCAGGGAAAGACAAGTAAGCAAGCTTTCGAAATGCATTATGGAATATTCCGTGAGAGCAGTAAGTGCGATCAACTTCGAAAACATTTAATGCGACGTAAAAACCTTTTAGTGCATCACATATACGAGGTCACGACACGCAATGCCTCTGTGACAACGCTTTACGGTTCTTGATGATGTCATTAAAATCAATAGTAAGTTATAAATGTGTCGCTTCTTGTTCCAAACAAAACTAGGAAATGAGTTCGGCTATTTGCCAGTGGTTTAACGTGATGGGCAGAAACTTCATCTGCGAGAGAAAGAACTCGTCGTGCACACCTCCGCGTACCATGTAGCCTATGACGGGTAAAAGAACAATACTAGGAACTAAGTCCCTGAACGAAGACTGCTTACTAGCTATTTCGCTACTTCAAAACCCTATTAAATCCCGCTGCGAAGTAAGTCAACCTTGTCGACATGGTACGATAATACACGCCACCCTATTGGTTTACATGTAAGCGTTGCACTTGTGACCGATAATACATTAACTAGCCCACTGAAATAATCGATAAATTAAACTAGCCAAATTCAGGTATCACTGCCTGCGACCAGAACTAAAACATCTACAGTTCGAGTCATACGGCTCATTCGAATGGAAATACGACTACGTAATCGTTATAAGTGTAACCGCTGCACACAATTATTGAATTGAAAAACGTACCACAAAAGCTTTCTTCCTTGATAAAGTAATCCTTTGCACCTTGAATGTTATTAGTAAGTTTGTCAGAAATAAGCCTCTCGTTTTATTTTTTTTCCCGTCAATTGCAATGTACGCTAGCTTCTAAGTGTCTTCGACCGTAAACACACACACCTGCAATGTTGCCGACCGAAGGTCTTTCTTTCGCCCGCATTCGAGTGGGACGAGTGCCGTTCGAAGGTGCAGCACTTACAAAGCCTACTACGTTAGCCACGTACAAACAGTAAAGGCTAAGTAAACACAAAGAACACTCGCAAAACAAACATTTTTCAATCCACTCGATCGTTTTTGCTAGCGCGCACTGTGTGTGGATACTGCATGTATGTGCTAACGCTTGGCGAAATCTATATTTGGACTCACGCGGGCGCACAGACGCAAATACTTTTCACTCACTCACCCACTCACTCGACTCACAATTAAACGGAAGCCCAGCCAAAGACAAACGTTCGGGCACAGAATCATCCCAATGCACGATGCTGCAGTATAGAGGCGGCAGCAGAATCACCCCGTATAGGGAATATACAGTAACTGCACGAAACAGCACACAGTGATCATATACAACCTGAACACTTTTGCGCTTCAGGAGAAGCTTTTCGACTGCGATGAGAAAGTATCTATTATACGCATATAATAAACTTAAATTACAATGCTGGTTACACGTAGGACCAAGGAGCAACAAATCTGCTTCTTGACTATTTGCCCAGAAAAGTAGGAACATATTTCATTGGCGGGGTCACGATTTTACATTTTACACGTCACTTGGCTGATTAAGGAAAACACACGGAAACGACTAGATTGATCTAACTCTCGTTTCAACCCCGCAATATACTCAGTCTTGACATAATCAACTACCATTTGCTGCGTGAACAACACACAAATTGATATAAAGCGAAGGTCTCTCTTTCCACATCTAAACTACCCTTGGGCCGGTTCCACAATTGAATATTTAGATACTCAAATGTTTCTTTGTAGAGAAACGTATTTCTTGCAGTGACCCAGTTAGTTACCCTGAAGGTTGCTTATTATATTCGTCCGCTGTGACCTTTAACGGTCGTCGACTCTGCCTGATAAGCTTGGCATGTTTAGGAACAAACATCTTTTACTAGTTGATCGTTTCGGAAAAGTTGTTTCCTAGCAGTTGTAGGACTACTGGCATGCTTCATGATAGTAATTGGTTAGACTGCAACTTTGAGAAAATTATCTTGCTCTTTCCTCTGGTTTCTCAGTTGCAGCCGTTCTCGCTGTTGCTAAGCGCAGTCAGAAACTAAGAACGACTTAAAAGCTGAATGAGATTTGCCAGGACTGTTCTAGCTTTCATCTATTCAATAATTTTTATTAAGAGCTTCACAAAGTCGTTAGACCAAAAAGTCCTTCTAGGGAAATGACTCGAAATAACCGTTATATAATAACAATCAGATATGGCAGTAGAGCCACGATGGTGTCATTCGGACCTTAAGATCACATAGATGCCTCCGACGACGGTGTGTGTGGGTCATTTTTGCGCCTAATCACCGTTCCGCCGTCGGCGGCGGTGCGTTATCGTGTGTTTGCTACCCGCGCGTTTATTTCGCACTCTCACTCGTTCTCGTTATTATTATTATCCGTTTTCTTATTTGCATCGTTGTATTAGTTGTAGCCGTTATCGTCATCGTAATCATCATCTCATGTTGTCCTGCGGAGCTTAACGTTGTCCACGGGTGCTATGCATATAGCGAGGCGCTCTGTCGTCCCCGGTCCTGATATGATCCATCTTGGTGTTGTTATTGTTGTTTGCGGTGAGGGGCTGAGGGTAGCGGCTGTTCCAGCATTGTGTGAACGTCGCTCAGTTCTTTAGAGTAACGCATTTCGCCTGTTTCGATTTGCTGCCGTTACTGTTGCGGCTTGGCAGTTGCTGCAGCTGCTGTTGTAGTGTCGTAGGGGTAAACGCGGATGCTTAGCCGGGAGGTTGGTTGTCGGCTATGAATATGTTAATTGAAGCCACGCATCGTTTCACGCGCTCTGCGAAAACATGGTAAAGGCGGCGAGGAAGTTTTGCAGGAAAACGAACAGGCGGGGAAACAGCAAGGCATAAGGCAAGCAGTCAGCGAGCTAGGCAGGACTAAGCAGAACAGACATCGTCTCGTTGTTGCGGCTGCCCCTGCTGAGGGTTGAACGAGCAAACGGCGAGTATAGGCGGAGGATATATTGCATACGTTTCCTGTTACTAAGCAAAGATTGATCCTACAACTGCACAGTGATGAGCAGTCAGGAAATTGTCTTTAGTGAACAAACAAAACTAATAAAAAACAAACAGTAATTGTAAGACATCGGTAAAATATGCCGGTATATGAGCAAAAAGAGACAGGCGTGTGACTGGTGCTCAGACATGTTCCTTCGTAGCAGCGGTATAAATGCCAAAGACATAACATGTTTTGCGGCACTCTACTCAGGTTAAAAATTTGTAAAAACTGTCCACTGACCATTGGGTTATCGAAAAGCGTCATTTTAGCAAAGCTTAGGTTATACACTGATAGCATCCTCGAAATACTAGTATTCAGTAATAAAGTAGAGCGCGTTCAAAACGAGTGAAGCTTCTACAAAAATTTGTTAGCTTTTACCATGTAAGGGCACAAAGGCTGGCTATTGAAAGATTAATGCCGTTTACAGTCAGGATGCAGTATAGGAAGAAACGCCGCAAATACGGCTCTGTCGCTTTTGTTCTACAAATTTTCAAGTTGGAAACATTGCTCGTAGCGGCCGACTAACTGCAGAGAAAGCTGAGAAAATGATTGTGGAACATGAGCAAGACCAACACGTCATTAGCTGAGAAATTAAACATTGACTCTTAGTTTCAAATCTATTAAACAAAGCCGGCTACAGAAAATGCACGAACGTATAATAATTTACTTAATCGTGTATCGATTTGCGAAACTCTTCAAAGACGTAACAAAAAAACGATTAACCACGACTGGTAAAAAGTAGGTCACATACGGTAATAATATGCAGAAACGAACATTTAAAAAGTATGGTCTACAATCCGTGGCAAAGCTCAGACTCACGCTAAAAAAGGTGATGAGGTGTTTGGCGGGATTGGAAAGTAATCGTGCATTATAAGTTGTTACATTGATTCGGACAATGACAGGTCATAGGAAAAAATCGACCGGAACCCGTGAACAGAAAAGGCGTAATTTTCCACCAAAAATGAGAGAATTTTCTATAGAATAGGACATTTTAACGCATTGACCGTATAGCATCATCAGATTATCATCTGTTTCGACCTGTAGATTTAGTTTTTATGAAGGGATGTGAAAATTACTCGTCACAATTTTTCGCCCAAAGATCACAGAACTTCTGCATTAATGGGCTTGTGTAGTATAATAATAAATTGTCGATCAGATTAACGCAGAGCAACATTATTTTGAAATAGAAAAAAAAATGCTTTAATTTACTTTTTCGACAACTTAATAAGATACGAGAAGTGCAGCAAACAGTTACTGTTACATTTTTGTTAAAAATGTAACAGCAACTGAACATACTTTTAAATAAAATATACACCTATACTATACTCTACATAAGGTTTGCAAAGTTTGTCGACCAATCGAATTAACAAGCCAAACGATACAAGTCATATTATATGCACTTGCATAATATGTATGGCAAACTAATTTATCTGACGCAAACTTCAACAGAGTATTATAGGATACAAGCACCCACTAAATATTTGTCGTCACGATGTATAGGCTGCAAGCGTTCTGGATAGCTTTTCAAAGGACTGTACCAAGTTTCGATATATATATATATATATATATATATATATAGTGAGTAACTACGATTTTCAAAGGTCAAAGCGATGGTGGCGCGAGCCTTTCTTTGTGTTTCCGCCCACGTATGTGTTTACAATGAGACCTGGGCAAATCTGGCTTCATCTCTAGTATTCGATAGTGCGTTTTTCCTTATTCTTTTGCTTGCTCCTTTTTGGATTGCAATCTCGGATAGCCACGGATCTTAGCGGCGACGGAGGTCCAGTGGTCACAGTGCTAGCAGTAGCAGCAGAAGCGGTTATAGGATGTGTTCATCTGCGGCCAAAATGAGTTAATCTACTTGCATCTATCGAGACTGCTTGCCACAGTCTCCTGTCCTGCCGCTGATCGTCCCCCACTGTTTCCCCAAATTCTTTCCATACAACCTTCTTTCGTTGCTATCTAGCTTTCTACCTTTCCTTGTCGAAGCTTCTTGTCTATCGAGGCGTTCCCTTCGAATCCATCTGGACCACCACCTCTATATGGGCACCAACTCGCTCGCCGCGTCATCCCTTTATCCTGACCACGCTCCCCACTTCTCCGCCACCATCTCTGTAGAGAGGTCAGTCAGATCCCTCACGCTGTCGTGTAGCCTATCGGAGGGAAGTAGGGGTTCGCGGGAAAGAGCCGCCTGCATCGATCCACTGCTAGCCGCTGCCTGTTACTCATCACCTATCAAAAGCAACGGGAGGGAAAGAGTGAAACTGGATGAGATCTGAAGGGTGGAGGACAATGCGAGAGAGAGAGGGATCCTCTCTAAGAGTGTTCATCTGTAAGCAGTCACAGTAGCACTAGTTTCATCTTTCCTCTAGTTAACCATCACGTCTTGCAACGCCGCCACAAACAATAACAGTAACACTCTTCTATTTTTCTAACACACGCTCATGTGGTTTGCTGTGCAACTACGCCTGCACGCCAGCTATGACCGCACCTAAAGCGATGGAAGAGATTACACCTGAGCATAGGCAATGCGAACATTACTTTTTGCTATATTGTAGACGATGCAGCGACAGAACTCGGTGTGGTTAATGCTCGCCTTTTCATTCTCCACAAAGCAGAGATTGGCGTCACTTAGGCCATTATGTCATATGCTTTATCTTGCGACTTCATGAAATGTTCAGAAAGTTCTAACGTAAGCTTAGGGGATATAAATGCGGTTAGACATAGCTATATATTACCCATAATACATAACGATATACATGAAACAATGTAACGCCGATGATGGCCTGTCGAATAAATGATAAGTCTGAATAAACTGATGAGAAGAATTAAAGAAAAGACTCCTGTTGCCAGCACAAACCCACTGCTAGAAGCCAGAAAACGCCCTCGCGATAAGACTAGCATCTGCTGAGAGGGCTATACGCTTGACGTCAGTTAAAGACTAACCCGTCATAGATTGAAGAAGCTCTAGTCTATCAACCTACAAAGTCTGGTGCGCGGTTATTAAGGACGTGGGTGTGGTGTAGGACAGAGACCATCTCACTAGATCTCTCATGTTGCGACAGACAGGGCTAACGAAGCCCCTGCGCAACCATAAGACAGGAAGGGCGATCCAAGGATGCTAACGAGACGCTGCAAAAGAACCGAGCTTGTAGACTGAGCCTATGTCCAAGAGTTGAAGGGTTAATGTCTCTTTGAGTCACTCTTTCTTGCTATAGCGCAGCAGTGTAGCAAAGACTTGAAATTGAACGATGAGGACCACGTAACGTACTAGGAGCGAGAAAGATCTTTAGTGTGTAAGGTAATTTGCTGTAAGGCAAAATGCTTTTTATAGCAAGTAAAAAAAAAACAATAAGGCGCTTCCAGTCTAGAAGTTTACAACAAAGCTACCTTATTCTCACAGCTAAGCTTCGATGATAGATGCTTTTGTATAGCATACATCTTCTAAAGGTGAATTTTCAAAGTTAGCATGCTGCTACTACTCGCATCCGAGCGAATGCTTAAAGAAACCCAATATTTCTGCAATTGTTCAAAGTAGGAAAACGTACTCATCTCATTCTATATAAATATTCATGTTCAGTAACGCAGCACACTGTGGTTCAATTTTCTCTTAAACTTGGCGTGGTCTGAATGGAAGGTTTGTACAAAATCTCGTTACTGACCGCTCAACATAACGAGGAATAACGCTAGTGTTTGGTTTTATACAGGCCGTGCTCACAACGGAGAGAAAAGAATCGACTTTCTGAATTTTTTTCTTCTTTGCCACTTCAGTCAGTTAGTCGTAGTCAACTGAAGTTGTGAAACCCAACTCTGTTTCTCCAGTTTAGAGATATGTAAAAAGCTCTTTCGAGTTCTGTGGAGCTAGCCACGACCACATTAACTGAGTAGTTATGTTAGACCTATTTGGGTTCACAGTTCTCGCTGCTAACGTCGATAGAAGTGAGCATGGGTGTGATTAAGTAGGCGGCAGAAGAGAGACTAGATCCACAGATGACACGAAACGGAACGTAGACTATGATCCGATGACGCGTCTAATAAATAGACAGGCAGGCAGGCTGGTCGTCGCCCACTTCGTTGATGGGCGAAGATGGAGGTAGAAGCAAAATCTCACAATTCCGCGATCACAGCTGGTACGCCGCGAACAGTGCTCAACTGGAGAAGAGAGAATGAAAACACATTGGAGACGTTTGGATAATAACTTCGATTATTGATCTCCATTCTCGTTGGTTTAGCTTGAAGTAAAATTAGAGAATACGAGACAGAAGACCAGAGTCACGTACGAAATACATAAGTTTACATAACATATGTAAATCGGTTCGAATCATGTATCAAGCAGATGCCATAAGTAGATAATCGATGTCTTGCCCAAGCCCCGTCGTTCGACGGTGTAAAATGAAATTTCTTCTATTTCATATATTGAAAAAATACAAATTCGTTCTGATCTATAGAAAATGTGATCAAACAAATATGTCATGAATTCCTGCTAAAGGTGCTGCTTGAAGAAAAGTAAAGTGAAGATCCACTGCGTTGGTGAAACACGGAACATGGTCACAACGGGCTATGTGGCGTGGGTCAGCGGTGAAAACAATTGGATTATTATGTGTAAAATGCGTTCCACTTAGATCAGTGTAGTCTCGGTCCGATGCGTTTGATTACCATGTGCATTGCACTGTATGTTACTCTTCAGGTGTATATAAATTTACCTGTTATAAGTTAGATCGTTGTTTAAGTTTTAGCACGAGCTGAATTCAATATACTCAATGCAAATGGCACCTTTAAGGGACCTATGGCGTAGTGAAGATCGATTTGTTATTAGAGACCCTTGTTCTGATGTAGGCTAGGATACGGCGAAGTGATACTGATCACGTGTGCGCGACCCAATAGCATACAGCGCTCAGGTGACACTCAATGGTTCATGCAAGTTGGCGCTACACAAATAGAGTTAACGGGAGTCATGTCGTTGTCATTGGAATATGGTCATTAGATACTTTAAAAGATAACAAATTGTGCATTGCTGCGCCCCAGTTTGTACCCCTTTAGAGTATTTGTCAATCTTTACAGCTGCGTAAAGTATCAGCATTTTGTAGAATATACATTTGATCGGTGCTTCTTGTACACACTGTTTAGTCGTCGGCAAGTTCGTAGTGTTTTCTCAAGCTTACAGTCCCCATTATTCGTATTTAGAACATATATAATTCAACCCTTCATTAAATTACAGCCCCTTTCCCCCTAACGATTTTTGAGTACTTATTTTTGCTTCTAAGGGGGTAACTTCAACGCTTATTATTATACTGTAATAATAACTGCTCACGCAACGAATTGTTTGCGAGACAAATCATTTCTACATATTTTTCACGACGATTAGTGTGATTTATGAGGAATCCGCTGACTTTTCGAACAACGTTCAATGCTACCACATGTGAGTTCTTGGTGTGTTCGAGACAAAAATATAAAATTAAGAGCTCTCCTTGCCGTCATATACTGCATCGATGTTATCCTCATTTTTTTTACATACGTTCGTGTAAAAAATAAAGCAACTTTTTTGAAGGTCGTTGTTATTATGTGTAAAAAAGAATACATGTTACTACTATACGTCACGGATAAGCAAATAAGCATTCTTTAGTGCAAGGGATTTAAAATAAGATTGTCTTTTCATAATAAATACGGTCTTTTCAATATTTGAATACTTTTCGTGCACGAACGTAGCTACTACACAACACTGAAGTGGGCATTCGTAGTTTTCTAATTAAGAAAATTCGGTAGGCCCACCTGTGCATTTACATTGAAACAAAGCATTTTATTGCCAAACCAAGGCAGGATATAAAATTCTGTAGCAATCATTTTCATTAACTATGGATAAATACGGCTAGGAATTATGCATCAGCCAGCACGCATGTCGCATGTTGACGTCAATGGCTTGTTGTTCATGGAGATAATTGAAGCTAGAATATGAACAATGTTGACACCAAATAATTAGGCGAATGCGTTGAAACAAACTTTATTGGTTATTGGTCCAAACGAGCACGCGTTCGTTTGTCTTTCTTGGCAATAGGAAAGCCCCCGTTCTTTTTAGAACCAAGCAACAGATTCGTCATGGTAGAAAACTTGGCAATTCGAACGAAGATGGACTATTATAATCTCTCTGAACTGGTCTAACCCCTACAAAACTAACAGCTTCCTTTTTTATCTGAAGTTCAAAATTGAAAAAGATTTCCATAGAGCAAAGCGGGAGATCAGCAGTGGTTTTTAGGTTTAAAAGGCGCACACCTATATCAAAATGGCTCAAAAAGTTATTTGGGATTAACGATTAATTGTCAATTTGATCGTCCAGATAATTTTGAAACTGTTTTCCACTTTTGCCCCTTTTGAATACTTTAGCCGTCTTGAGCTCTTGCATTTTGGGATTTTTAGGCCAATAATGCTTGACGCACCGTTACAATTAAAATTTGCGGTTTAAAAACGGCACATTTTGCCAATGACTGGTCAATGCCTCAGGTCCCAAATTCAATCTGTAATCGTAATGAATGCAAGCTTAAAGGTGCAGGTTCATCCGATGAGCAAATTCAAGGTAGCAATGAATGCCCTGAATATAATTATTTATCAAAATTCAGCCACAGCTTTTATGCTATCGAGGTGAAATTTAAAAAAATAGAGTCTCTCAGTGCCGTTTGCGACTGAGTTTTTCAAGCAAAACAATAGATTCTTCATTGGTGAGATAATATTTAACTCGAATGCAAATAAATCTGGGTCGCAGAAACGACCCAAAAAACATTCTCATGGTATATGACTCACTCTCTTGCTAGTATCTACGTTCCGAGTGTTGTGCCCATTTGGGTGGACATCGTGCCATGCTTCTTTGCAAACAGCGCGTTCGTTACCATTGTGTTGAGTAATAGGCCGTACGCTTTTCAGCGACGTGATGTACCCGCTCATACGAGAACATTAGCTTAGAGTTAGTTGAGCACGTAAGCATGCTTTAAAACAATAGCTCATGGCAACTTCGCAGCACGAACCCGTTGATTAATTATGTGTGAGGCGTCACTGACGAGGAGTTAAACAACGTGTTCACAACAAGATGTATATAGATGTTTTGATTAGAACTTGTGGAAGGTCTCACCTCAAATTAAAGCCGTAAAGTTGCATTGAACAAATATTCTTGGCAGGGACATTTTTATCTGCAAACCTAAAAGAATCAGTGTTCAACTGTGAATCCTTTGTAATCCGCTGGCTATTTCTAGGTTATAGCAAGCCGTTTCGCTAGCATCAAAATGTCAGATTTAAATTTTAATTTTAGCAAATAATTTAAGGTCTACAGATTCTCACACGAAAGGTCGTTGACAAGAAAAAACTTCATGCATTCAGGTTACGTAGCTAAACCTAAAATCTCTATTGGAATTATTAATAAATGTTCACGGAATGAATCAATCAAAAGTTTCTCAGAAAATGTCAGTGCACTGTGGCAACGTCAAAGATCTGGATTTCTTTCGGAGAGAGCCTTTGCTACTAGTAATCCCTTCCTGCGTAGCATCGACGATTCGCTCACCTGTTGCTTGTCGAAAAGGACCGTCATGGAAGACCAGAGTAAAGTTTGCAGGTCGTAAAGTTAGCACCTTTGTCGTCGAAACACAGGCGCTACCTTTTCTCAGCAGCTCAGTGCAAGCGGCAGCCTAAAAGCTGGGCAGTGAATGGACTGAAATAGCGACTGGGTAGCCTACCTCGAACTTACGGCTTGCGTCTCTCTCTGGCTGTTGAGGGCAAAGCCGCGTTCGTACTATTACGGTTATTGTTATAGACGAATGGGTAAAGAAAGGACGGTCTCTTTCAGCGGTCCTTGCTATACCTGCCATTGCTAAGACTTCGTCAGCTGCAGAGTAAACTACTAGCAGTCGTAAAATGACCAAAATGCTGAGCTGGCGGTATAAAGCACCGCCTGATGGTGGTGTGCCAAATGAAAGCAAAACAACAGTGACTTCTCTCCTAACCAGAACATCCTTTTCTCTTTTGTTGACTAAATGGAAATATGGCGGCTGGAAACCGGGATCTTTCGAAGAATCTACGGTATATAAAATTATCATAGACGTAGTGAGACACGTAAATGTTGGCAATACTCAACCAGATATATCTAACACATTCTTATGAGGCATAGCGAGAGCTCTAAATTTTATAAATAATTTTTTTCATATGAAAAAAAATGCTCAAATGTCCTATAAATTTATGAAGTTGTACTATGGCTACGATAGTGGTATCCTTTTTGTCAGGATTTTAATTAAATTTTTAAGCGCTGCGATGTAATGCTCCGTCAAGCTCGCTTTCATATGCTTCTGTTCACAGTAATGACGAGATCGATATGACGATAGCCGAATTGTACGGCAGTTGTTGGCACCAAAGCTGTTTCAAATCAAAAAGGCACACTAAGACGTTTTTTGCAAATTATGTTTTCTTAACCATTTGTGACTGATAATAGTTGTGTGGTATTACTACTGACGTTGGCAGATGTATTCAATGGCAAGCAATTTCCGATCTCGGCTTCAACTCGAGCACTATCTAGAAACGCCTCAAATACAACTTCCTTTGACCGAAGGGTCATCTGATCCAGTCAATATAAATTAGGATATATGACCTTTGAAATACACCGTGGTCATCTTTCGAGGCTAGACGGAAGATATTTCAATTTTACGTTATGTTCGTACTCAGTTTGTTCAAGGAAACGATTGAGCACATTGATCAGAAATACGTTTTAAATCATCCAGAAGGTGTTATCATGGCATATGTAGGAATTTGTACCTTCATACCGGTTTTTGTCGCCACATTGTCAAAAAGAGTTCATATCATACATACATACATTTACAATCAGCAACTGTGAAGCCTTGTTGCTGTAGGGTCCTTTCTTTTACTCACACACTACGTTCCTTTAGTTCTCCGAGAAGCTCCTACTATTTCCAATCGAGTTGTTGTTGTTCCGCGCAACAATGCATCTGAACGAACTGCTTGCTATTGCGAAAAGTCTGAATTGATATTGTTGTACGAGTACACACACTTCCTACTACAACCGCCTCAGCTCCCCTCCCTTTCGGTCTCAGCCGTTGCTTGCGTTCACATGTTCGTGCTATTTGGGGCAGCCGTTACGTAGATGGCCCCCACAGATCTACATCTTACATTCGCAGTCCCTGATGTTTGGTGTCGGTTGGTTGGTTGGTCGGTCGGGGGCCAACTCGCTCTACGTTGCCGGTGCCATTATTCGATGCGATGAAACGCTGCTGCTGTTGCCGAACTGTTCCCAACCTTCTTCGTTCGCTCATACTTGGCCGTAGAAGTCCTACTATTACGTAGAAGGTTAGATGGGGGTTTGCTCGAGACGAGAGTGAAATATCGGAGAACGGAAAGCAGTAGCAGCATGGAGCCGTGCAAGTATACTATGTGTTTGGGGGCGTACGCATCCGCGGCGGTACAGCCATGAGAAGGGAGTGAATAGCAAAGAATCTATATTTGAGCACACGGCTAGCCAGAGTCGAGTTGACTTCCTTTCGTTTGACCGACTCCCTATTCGTCCATTTAGCTGCCATAAAAACACCCTAGGCCCTCTTCGATTGACGGTGTTCGCTTCGGATTTGAGTACGGACACCACGTGAAGTATCTGGCCCTGACCGGATACAGCCGGTCGTGGCGGGGGCGGAAGCTCAAGTGACCGAACCGCAGCGAGTACCACTGACAAACACATATCGCAACGCAAATAGCAGCAATATACCCAGAATGTGGATAAATTCGAACTTGCAGAGCTCGTCAACTTGAACGTAGCTTTCAAGCTGTGGTCAACTCAATAGATGCTACTGTCGCGGACAAACTTGAATCTACTTTTACGGGCAAAAAAATATATGTTGCTGAATAACATCTCGTCTTCCTGCTGCGTTTTCTAAGCAAACATCTAACTAAATTCATTTAATTGCTTCAGCCATGATGCATCTGAACGATAAGATTATTGAAGCGAAAAATAATAAAGTGCAGATAATTCAATGGTGTTAATGGGGGTTCACAAGCTAAGAAAATTTGACTTTTTTTTGTGTTATTAAATGCCCCGTTAGAACGGTAAGCACTCGGTCAAGCCCGAAAACGTAAACTTTCGTATCCAACCTTGTTCTCGGAGCTGCGGATGTCAACGAAGTGTCTGGGGCTGCGCACTGGTGAAAATGCCCAACCGGTGGTGATGTCAGCGCCGTGCAGTCGAGGATATTAATTCCTTGACAGCACCCCACCCCAACCAACCAAGCGACCCCTCCTCCTAGATCCTTCTATATCTTTTGCTTGCTTTGCACTACTTCCCTGCTTTCGGGTCCGTCCTCTGTCCTTCGTTCTCCAACGTGTCGCCCTTGCTCGATCTAATGCTAAGCTTTCCCCTACACTAAAAACTCCGGTTCGTGTCAAATCCCATTTCCTGGTCAGAGGAAACGGCATGAAAAACTGGCGGATCGAAAGGGGTATCCCCTACGCGTATGTGGGATCCAAGAATAACGCAAAGAGCCTGTCCAGGAATAGAGGAAAAGGGGTTGCCCCAGTATACTACCCCACACTATTTCCATACTTTCTTCTTGCAGTAAGAGAGACTGGTTTTTCACTGCCCCGGCTTTTCAATACTCGTCGTCACGAGATCCGGAAAACGCCGGGAGAGAAGTGTAGAGAGAAAGAGTACTGAAGGAAAGAAAGAAAGCGAGAGGAAAAATAGCACGAAACCTGAGACAGCGCAACCGCAGATGACAGACGAACGGCTTTCGTTCGCCAGCACGGTTCGATACAGCTGCCAAAAGAAAGATCTTTTTACTTCCTTTCTCTCCGCCCCGAGCTCTTGGCCATTGGACCTCATGCTTTTTCAAGTTTTCGCCGAACAAAATTTTACGGAAAATATTAATCGTAAATGAGAAAACTTATAAACAGAAAAAAGGCTATCGCCACATAAACGGTTATCTGGTACTACTGAAACAAGTAGAAGATAACTTGGATCGAATGAATACGGCGAGCAGGAACGGCTTACAAGGGACTCATTTAACAAACTAGCGGAGCGCAGTGATAACTTCACGTTGAAAACTTGCTTGAATAGAGCAGCAAATAAGCAAGAGAGCTTTCTTCATAGACTACGTTTATGTTATTGGCTTTTGCCGTTCTTTTGAACATATTTCTGTACGAAAGTAAATCTGTCATCCTAGTTCCTGGGCCGTCCCCTTTATGCAACAACGTGTAGTACAGGCTAGCAAATGGGTCGGCTAAAATCTTGATTACTCTAGCTTTGAGTTTCATTGTTTTATGCGCAATATCCTAAATGGCTGTGACCGCATTGGTCAACTATACACGTGAGGCTCTCCGTCAAACCTTCGGGACCCACGAGTTTACGCCTGCTGCCTCGAGATTTATGGACGATTGCTATCTTTTCTCATTTCATCTTTCCTCTTTTCCTCATTTAGCTTCGTAAAGAATCCCCAGCCTTTACCAAATGCGATTGAGCCCTCCTGTAAATCCGCCAATATCATTATGAATATGAGGTGTGCGTTGCAGGGAATGTAGTTGCAACCCAATTGGGCTCTTTCATCCTGCCTACCAAAAATGCTCAAGTATCGGCCTGATTGAGCAACGCTTTACAGGTGGGCCATTTTGTCCCTCAGAGAAAGCCAACCATTGCAATATAAACTACCGAATATCCCTGCCCCTGCTATTTCACATACGTTTGCTTAAAGTATTAGATTAATTTTGTTGCATAATCGAGTAATTCTGTTAGCAGTTAATATCCGTAAGATTGCAACGTGAGAACTATTGCTGCAACATTGTTCGCCTAAATAACCGTGCAGAACGTTTAAGTGCGCTGAACCATTAGTTAATAAATATTCCCGTCTTCTCGGACAACTTTGACCTATAATGGATCACTGCTAAATTTTAAGTAAACTTACTTAAATGGAACACATGTACAATAAACGAACACGTCTGATATGGGCTTTTACTACCTGCGACGGCTTACGATAGGAGGAAGGATTCTGGTTACTCACCTGGAAACACAAATGTGCTAAGTTAGTAGCTACTTCATATAATTACTCCGTAGTACATATATTATGCACAAAATTCATTTAGACAATTCATATAACAAAAGGTGAGACTGCATGGGACAGTGGTTATGTGGGTTGTTGTCTAAACAGACTTAATTAGCGTTAAATGTCAATAAATACCAATAAATTTGCTAGGCGGATACGGATCGGATATTTAGTTCAGTCAGCATTACCGTATTTTTTTTGACGTATTTTCAAAGCGTGAGCCCTATGAGACAATTAGGTATTTGTACGGCATTTCATCGGAGCTTTGTTAAACGACGAAGAAGCGAAATAAGCAATTCCTTTTTCTGTTTTAGTTGTTTCTGATGTGCTATCAAACATAAATTGATAGTGTGGTACGTTTTTTAAGAGCCTTTTTTGCTTCTTCGAAAAAAAGTTTTTTTAAAAAATATATAAAAAAAGTATATTACGTAAGCTATATGGGCTAGAATAATGTGGCACATTTTGTATGGGCCACTGTATTTGGAACATATATGATGCTAGATATCGTCGATTTTACAGATAAGTGAACAACTAAATGGTCTCAAAGTACAATTTAGCCTCATAGGGATGCGCATATATGTACATGTA